AGAGCTTGGCTGCTAACCAAAGTGTTGGCAGTTAGAATCGACCAGCTGTTCCTTGGAAACCCCATGGTGCAGTTCTACTCTGTCCTATAGAGTCACTATGAGTTGGAATCTACTCTACGGCAACGGGTTTGGGGTTTTTTTTAGGCTTGGCATCTGGGTGTTCGGAAATGAACCAGATTCCCCCTGCAGTTGGGGAGCACAGGCTGTAAGGCTGGAGGTGACGTGTGTCGCAGGCTGCTGAAGGAGAAGGGGGCGGATGACAGCCGGGACCGTGGTCATCACTGGGGGCATCTTGGCAACGGTGATCCTGCTCTGCATCATCGCAGTGCTGTGCTACTGCCGGCTACAGGTACCCCGGGGTGGGGGGGTGAGGGGGCGGGGTGGGGGCCAAGAAGGCCACAGGGCAGGGCCTGGGACGGGGGAAGAGCCGGGACTCCATCAAGGGGGCTTGGTGGTGATGGCCACCACCTGGGCACCACGCCCCAAGTCTCCCACTGAGCTCCCAACCAGCCTGCCAGGGAGGATGCTGAGGCCCAGAGAGGGTGAGGGCACACAGTGGCCCGGGGGACAGCAGGGGGAGCTCGTTCTGCCCTCCACCCTGCTTTCGTGGGCCGCTGACACCCCTGCATCTTCCTGAGAGGGGAGGGAAGCCGTGTGCGCAGTGCCCGCGCGCCGGCTCTGGGCTGGGGGGCCGGTTGTCACCCCGCGGCCTCTGCCTGCAGTACTACTGTTGCAAGAAGGAGGAGTCCGAGGAGGGCGAGGAGGAACCCGACTTCGCGGTGCGCTCTCACCTGCCACCTCTGCACTCCAACTGCAAGCTGGTGCTGAGCAACGGGCCGGCCCTCCACCCCACCGCCTCCACCTCCTTCAGCCACAAGTCCCCGCAGGCCCGCACCCTCTGCCGCAGCTGCTCCTACTACGAGCCGCCCACCTTCTTCCTGCAGGAGCCCGAGGAAGAGGACGTGCGCAACGGTGGCGAGCGCGTGGCCTACAAGAGCATCAGCCAGGAGGACCTGGAGCTGCCGCCCGCCGCCTTCGGGGGCCTGCAGGTGCTCAACCCCAACCGCCTCTCAGCCATGCGGGAGGCCTTCTCCCGGAGCCGCAGCATCAGCACCGATGTCTGAGCGCCGGCCCTCTGCGACAGGGTGTCATGGCGTCAGCCTGTCCCAGCCTGGCCTTCCTGGCATCCCTGTCTTCAGGGGCACCCAGGCATGGGGGCCTCTGGGCCCCTCCCTCAGGGGCTCCCAGGCCCCTAGCAGGCAGGGATGAGGCTCAGTGAGCACAGGCGTCAGTGAGGGTAGGCCCTGGGGGTGACAAAGGGACAGGTGACGGCAGCTGGGCAGGGGTGGGAACATGGCAGGGGGCTCATGACTCCTGACCCTGAGGCTCCCATTTTGAAGATGTGCAGCTGACAGGTGGCCTTCATCACGGCCCCAGCAGCTCGGCCACCCTGGCTGTTCAGTGTGGCCACATCCCTTCCTCCCGCGGGCTTACCACCTGTTCCAGGAAGAGGCGGCCACGGTGACCCCAGGGCCTCCTGTAGCACAGGCCTCCCCGTGGCTGTGGGCAAGCATTCCACCCCTCCACCCTGACGCTGGACTCTGGGGGTCTCTCCCTCTCCACCTCTCTCTCATATACACACACTCACACACTGTCCTGGATTCAGGCCAGGCATCTGTAACAGCTGAGGCTTGAGCCGGCCTCCCTCCAGCTGGACAGATTCCCCCTTGAAGGTTCCCTGGGCTGCGGGTGAAAGTGGGGAGCAACAAGCAAAGGAGGAGGCTGCACCCCAGCACTAACACACACCCCAGTCCTCAGCCCATACGTGGCCACCAGGTGGGGGGCAGAGCCGGTGGCCAGGAAAGCTGACCCATGAGGTCACCCTGAGGCTGGGACACGCTCCGTCCCTGGGCCTTGGCCTCCCTTTCCTATAAGATGGGGGGCTGGTCTCAGAGAGCCCTTCAAGCTCTGGTTCTCACCGGCCACCCCAGGGAGGCAGCTCCATGGCGCCCTCTGCGCCCACCCCTGCCAAACCCCAACCAGCCGGAGACTGAGGTTCCCAAGAAAAGACTCCAGATGAGTCCTCTCTCAGCCAACCTCCACCAGGGCTGGGGTCTCCCCAGGGATTCTGACCCCACTCCCCAGAGCCCTTCTTCTGCTCAGGGCTGACGCTTGGGAAATGCCCCAAACCCAGCGGCCCTGGCCCAGAACGCAGCTCTCCCCCATTCAGCCAGCAGCAAGAGTCTCTCTCTCCAAAGCCTGGCCCCAGAGTCCCTTCCTCTCTGGGACCCTCCCTCTCTGGGACCCTCCCTCTGGGCCCTGCTGTGGAGCCCCAGGGTGCGATGCCCCTTCTAGCCCAGGGAAAGAGGACGAAGCTCTTAAGGTAAGCCACCTTCCTAAAAGGCAAGCTTTGAGGGTGAGTGGTCATGCCTGAGCCACAGGCAGCCGGAGCAGGACACTCCCTGCTCTTGACTCCAGAGCTCCGATGAGTTAGGAGATGCCTGCACGTGGACGGAGGTAGTGAAAACTTACTGTTTTTGCCTTTTCTTCTTCCTTTCTCTGGCTTCCTTGGTTTGGACATGCTAACGGAATTCATCCTGGAATTCATCAAGCCTCAGGCCCACACCTACGCTTCCTCTGTCCAATCCCATGGAGTTCGTTTCTGTTGCATTAGCTTGGGGGTGGGCTGGGTTGGGGGGGGGGGCGGGCAGGAGGTGGCACTTCCTGTGGCTATTCTGTTTCCTCTTTCCGTTTCTGGTCTCTGTCCTCTCTGTATAGACATATAGATCTCTTCAAATGGAGTAGGCACCCATCCTGCAGAATCCGAGCTCACTGAGCTCCACCTCGGGTCTGTGGAAGCACGACCGCAAATAAAACTTGGCTCCAACCAGCCGCCCTGTGGACTCTTCGGTCAGCTGGGGGTTCCAGACCAGCCAGGCCCCTCCCCGGGGCTTTCTGGAGGCCTACGTCCATCCCCATGCCAGGCCCGAGTGGGTCTTTCCTCCTGGACCAGCCAGAGGGCTCCAGGCGCAGCCCAGGGAGGGCAGAGCTGTCCCCTGGGGAGGGTGGGCCTCAGAAGCCCTGGGTGGCTGGGTGACGTTCTGAGACTGGGAACCCCCGTCTAGACTCTGGGTTCGTGGGGAGCAGACCGTGGGTGGTAGGCCATGACCGTGGACAAGCCACTGGGCCTCTCTGGCCTCTGTTTCATCACTGACACAATGGGGCCATCATGACACCCACGTCATGATCACAGCCCTGGGACCCGGCTCCTGGGGGGGTTCAGTGAGGTAGCCCAGACTGTGTCAGCCTGGCATACAAGTACACAGCACATGTCGGAGGGAAGGAGGACGGGGAGGAGGGAAATAAGGAGGACGTTGGGGGAGATGGGTAGAGCACAGTGGCCCCCAGACCCCTAGCCTTCTGTGACTTGGCTCTACTTCAAACGAGCTGGTGGCCTGGAGTAGGTCCCTACATCCAGCTGTCCCATTAACTCACGGAAACTGTGATGTCAGTTACACAGTTCCAGCCCCCTCCACATGTGTGCACGCGGGTGCACATGTGCACACGTGCCCATGCGCATGGGAGCACCTAGGTGCTGCCTGTTCTCCCAGCTGTAGCTGGAAAAGGAGGCGGCCCAGTGCCCTGCGTGCCCCTCCAGCCCAGAGTGGAAGCCAGCCTCCTAAGTGCCGGGTAGGGAGGGGGTTCTACATCCTGGGAAGCAGCCCACAGCCACTACTCTCCCTGGACCTGTCCTCTCTAAGGAGGCATGCCCCTCCGCCTTCCACAGCCCTCCCCTGGCCAGCTGGCTCAGGGGCCTCCCTCCCTCCCTCCCTCTCTGTGGCTCTCAGCATCCTAGGCCCCCTCACCCAGTGCTGCTGGCTGTCTCCTCCCCTGCACACCCCCCTTCCATGTCTTCACCTAGGAAATCCTCTCCAGCTCTGGTCTCAGCCTCCGTCCCTCCCGTGAGCCTCCCGCGAACTCCAGAAGTGACGATAGTGCGAAACTGAGGGCATGCTCTGTGTGGGCGGGCAGCACCCCCCGCCACTCCTCTCAACACACCCTCCACGAGGTCCCCTTCCTGTTCCCCAGACGAGTCTGAGGCTCATGTTGGGACTCCCCCAGGCCACCACCAGCTGACAATGGGCTCCAGGTTCCAGCCCAGCTCTGACTCCAGCGCCCTGATGCCCCCACTCCCCTCTCTACACGCCCCCTCCCTGCAACCTCCCCCGCTCAGCTGCCTTTTGTCTGTCTGCCCCCTGAGACAGTCATCCCCAAGGGCAGGCATCCCCAGGTCCCTGCCCCTGAGGCCTCAGCGAATGCATCTCCCCACGCAGAGGGCCTGGTCTCCACTCCACGCACACACACATAGGGACATCCCCCTGCCAGAAGCACCAAGCGAGACGCCTGCACCATAAATACGCCCACTTTATTGACATACACAGGTGAGTAGCGGCGGACGATGGCAGGGACAAGCCACTGCTCCTAACCAGATATGAGAGGGGCCGCTCCGCGTGTCGTGAAGTGCGGCGGTCCCCCGTGTACAGGAGTGCTTCCTGTCGGGACCTGGACGGAGGCTCGGCAGTGAGAGAAAACTCCGAAGATCCGCCTAAACCAGATCGGGCGCTGGGACAGTGCCTTCGCACCTCCCTGGGGCCACCTTCCCCCCTCCACTGGTCTCTAGACGGGAGAAGACTGCGGTGGATGGCGGTCACCTCCACCTGTGGCTTTGGAGCCTGGGATCTCTCGGGGGAGGAGTGCTTGGGCAGCACCCCAGTGGGGAGGATGGGGACCTCGGACCACAGTCCTCAGGACTCTATGTACAACTTCCCCCAGCTGGGGCGCGGCTCTGTGCCCCCAGGGAGGGCCTGATGGCACCCGGGGCGCTCTCTCCTGGGCCAAGGGAAAACCCCTTCTGGTTGGCGAGGCTCAGCGTCACGTCTGTGCAGCCCCGGCGCCCTTCCGGAAGGTTTGGTGAGGGCCAGCAGGGCGGCGGCAGGGGCCTAGGAGTGGGGTGGCCTGCAGGAGCGGCAGCAGGCCTTGCTGTAGTACCAGTGGCTGCAGAGGTTCACCTTGATGGCCAGCGCGCAGTTGGTGCCCGGCTGGTCCTGGCAGCTGTCATCTGGGGAGGGGGCACGGTGGAGGGTGTGGGCGTCAGGAGGTGGCCAGGGGAGGATGGCGCGGCAGGAGCTCCTGCTCGCCCTCCACCTCCTTCCTCAATCACCAAAGGCAGCCAGGGTTAGGGTTAGGGTTAGGGTTAGCACCAGCGGACAGGTGGGCCCTGCACCTCGTTTCCTGCCCCGCCCCCACCCCCACTTCAGCCGCCTCTCTACTCTGCAAAACAAGTGTCCCTCCGCGTCCCCCTTTCCTGCCCCGTATTCATCCCCAGGGGTGCTGCAGGTCCTGTCAAGTGGTTGATCTGTGTCCTGGGAAGAGATGCCCCAGGAAGCACTTGATCTCACATACCTGGGGGCCCCACAGGGTCCTCCCACTCAATACATCCAAAACAGAACCCCTAACGCCCCTGCCCCAGCTCCCACCTCTGAGGCTGGCCCCTCGCCCCTCTGCCAGAGCCCCTGCGTCATCCCTTCCCTCCCTGCCTCCCGTGTGCCCAGCACCAGCTACTGGGGATGAGCCATCCTGGATCCCGGTCCTCTGGCCTCCGGTGGCCTGTCCCATGTAAAGGAGACACTCCTTCTAACGACCAGGTCCCACCTGGCTCCCTGGGGCCTCCAGTTCCAGTCAAGCCTCACCACTCCCCCCTCCCTCCCCTCCCAGCCGGACTCCCAGCACGCAGGGGCCTGGGGCCACGGGACCCTCCCCAGGTCACCGCTAGCGCCCGCTGTCCTTCAGGCCCCGGTTTAGGCAGCGCCCCTCTGCGAAGGCCCAGCCCCGCCCTGCTCCCACTCACCAGGGGGCTCCGTGGGGCACGGCTGCAGGTCGCAGGTCTGCTTGCCAACGGGCTTCACCAGTGGGTCGCAGCCTCTAACGATGTCGGTGCCCTGGTAGCACTTGACGTCCCGCATCCTCACGCCCACCCCACAGGTCTTGGTGCACTGCGAGGAGACCGCGGGCCAAGCCCCAGGCTGAGGGCGGAGCTCAGCCTAGGGGGCGGGGCTTGGCCTAGGGGCAGGGCTCGGCCTAGGGGGCGGGGCTCGGCCTAGGGGGCGGGGCTCAGCTGAGGGAGGAGGGCTCATCTGGGGGTGGGATTCAGCAGAGAAGCCGGGATGCCCACTCTAGACGCCCATCCTGCTGCCTGGCCCAATCCGCAGGTCTTGGTGCACTGGCGGGAGACCGTGGGACAGGGCCTGGTCTGAGGGGGCGGGGCTCAGCCGAGGGGGCGGGCTTAGTCAAGGGGGTGGGGCTCAGCCGAGGGGCGGGGCTCTCCATCCTGGACTCTAACCTGCCACATGGGGTCTCACCCTGCCACCCCGACCACCTTCCAGGCGCTGAGTGTCAGCTGACAGGGGGCCTGCGAAAGCCCGTGGGAAACTAGGTAACCCGCGGCTCAGGGCGAGCTGAGGTGATGAGAGGGGAGGGTACTGTCTGAAGTCAGGCCTGGGTCCCGTCGCTACTCCGCACTGCCTCCGTTTCCCCATCTGTACAGTCCACTGTCCCTGTGTTCCCCGTTTCCAGCTTTCCTGGGGTCTGTGATGCAGCGGGCTTAGGGGCAGGGGGCCGGGGGAGAGCACTGGGTTCCTATTCCAGCAAAAACCCGTGTTCGTTACGGGCCAATTAAACTCATCTTCCACAGCAACCCCACCCCCACCCCGTCCAGATGTTCCCCTTGGAAAGCCCCACCGAACTGCCCAAAACTCCAGAGACATCTGCTGACCTCGGTTACCCCACCGTCCTCCTGCCAAGATCTGCAGGCGGCGGCTGCCTCGTGCTCCCCGGCACGGTGACCCCACATCACCCAGAGCGCTGGGACCTAAGCCTTGGCTCCCTGGAGTGGGCAGGGAGGGAGGCACCACCCTGGGCCCACCCTTGAGTTCTGTTTGTGAAGGCCCAGTGTGAACTGATTAAGACTTGGCAGGAGGGCTGCCCCCACGCCCCCCATTCTGAGCTGGGGGCTGGCCCGGTCTGGAGGTGGCGAGAAGCCGCTCGGCACCAGAGGCCAGAGGACAATCAGCCCTTGGCCGGCGCCTGAGGAGCCTCTGGACGTGCCCCTGGAGGCCAGCCCTGACGCCCGGCCCCTCTCCAGCAGCCTGGGGCAGGAAAGGGCACTATGCCGAGAAGCAGCCCAGGGGGCGGTGCCCCCTCCCCCAGCACCCCCCGGCCGCTTCATTTTGGTTCTCCCCCTCCCCTTGGCTCTCGTCTCTTCAAAGGCAGGCACCCCTCACAGTCTGTGCACCCAGGAGGTTCTGGCCCCCCACAGCTGCCACCACACCTTCTGGAGCCGGGACTGCTGCAGGTTCCCCCCACCCCGGCTCCCCAGACCCTCCAGGCCAGCCAGGCCCCACCGCTCCCCCTCCACCCTCCCAGCCCGGTGCTGCATTCTGAGACGCTCGTCCTTCAGGCCCTGGTTTAGACAGCGCCCCCTCTGAGAAGCCCTCAGCCCCGCCTGGTCCCTCTCCTCTCACCAAGGACTCCTTCCGTGGGTCCCCATGGAATAGTAACAGCAAGTGTTCTGTCTGGAACAAACACTAGTGGAGACACAAGAGACAGCAGAGCTTCTATCCTGGGAAGGTGACCTAAGTCTCTCCGCGGAAGATCTGAACCTGGGGAGAGGCAGAGCCCCTGGACCACCGCCCTCTGAGAGGGGCGACCCCCAGACATACCCCAGTCTCAGTGACTCAGAATCTTTACCTTGAACTCTTGCATTTAGAGTTTAAGCACCCACTTGCTGTACAGCTGAGAACTGCGGGGGACTGGGTGTCTGCGTCTAGCGGCCCATTGGGCAACATCACAGTTAAATCTTCCAGGCACCAATCAGACCTGCCAACCCTGTCTTATCCCTTCGGCATTTGGAGTTGACCAATGAGGAAGCCGAGGCCAGAGGCAGCTAGAGACTCGGTCACACAGCCCAGCCACACAGAGTGGGCACCGAGGACCCCACCCCCAGGGATTCAAAAAGACCACTTGGGCCTCCCCACCCACCCCTTCCTGAAAGGTGATGGCATCAGCATTGGGTGGGGAGAGGGACAGGGGACCACAGGTGGCACTGCTGCTAGGTGGATACAGAGGAGACAGATGTAGCATTAGCTGTGAATTAGTAACAACTCCGGTCTAGACTGACAGCCTCCATCCTGGAGGAGAACGGCTGGGGACGCTTATGAGCTCCCAGTGAACTGCGAACCCCACTAGGAGGTCTCTGCAGGAAGGCGGACAGGCAGAAAAGAAAAGCAGCAGAAGACGTTACACTGGCCTGCCTTGCTCAGCCAGAGAACTGGGGCGGGATGGGGGGTCCACCCCCTGCCCCCACCTCTGAAGTAGGGGCTGCTCCCCTATCTGCAGAAACCCCACCTCAGGGTCCCTGCCCAGGAGTCAAGGGCATGGGCTGGCTGGGGGCCCCCCTTCATTTTGCCAATTCCTCACCCACCGGGATCTAACTTGGGGAGAGTGGACTTGAGTTCCGACATCTGCCACCCCCTCCCCCGAGAGACCCCGAGCAGGCCAGGCCTGTCACAGAGATTCTGGTTCTTTTTCTGGGAAATGAGAACAAGCCCCTCCTCCTGGGCTGCTGGAAGGAGGACAGGAGAGCTTCCAGCCTCTGGGCCTCATCTGTAAGGGGAGGCGAGACCCCAGCTTCATCCCACCCGACATCCTGAGGCTGGGGGGGCCCTGCGGGGGGCTGAGGAGCCCCCAGAATCATCAAACGGTCAGGCCTTTGTCAGTAGAGTTGCTGCCTTCCCAGCTGCCCTTTGCCCTGCAGGGTCTTGGCCCAGTGCACACTTCCAGCTGGCACACTGTGTCCCCACCCTGGTGTCCCTGCCTGAACTGTGGCTCCTGGGGGCCAGGGCCGTGTCTGACTCCGTTCAGCATGCCCACAACGCCTGGCCTGGGGTCTGTCTGCCCCATGGCACGTGTGGGGCACCCGTCCTGGGTGACTGCATGGCTGAAAAACTACAAGCAAGGCCCAGGAGAGCGCGGCAGGCCTCCCAGTCTGACATCGGACGAGGCTTCTGGAGGTGGTGGCTCTGTGCCGGCCTCGGAATTGGGCTGAGTTGGTCGAGTTGGGAAAACCCTGACGAAGGCTGATGGGGCTTCAAGGGGCATTTGAGGTAGGAGAGGAGGTACGGTGGTGGGACCGGAACCCAGGCTTGGCCTCGGCGGTCCCGAGGGCATGGTGCTCACCTCCGACCAGGGGCTGGTATACCACTTGAAGCAAGGCCTCTCGAAACACGTGCTCTCCTCGGGCGGCTTCTTGGCCAGGCCGCACTCGGGGCCGCTGCGCGTCTGCAGCTTCCCGTTGGCCAGCTCCATGCACAGCACCAGCCGCTTCTTCACGCCCCGCCCACAGGTGGTATTGCACTGGGGTAAGGGACAGACGGGTGGTCAGCCCCAGAGGCCAGGAGGGCTGGGCCCAGGGCCCCCTGCGCCCCAGTGACAATGGCTTGTTCAATAGCCATCAAGGAGCGAACGCTTAGACGGATGGCAAATCGGCTGCAAACACTAGAGCCCATAACCATTCGGCCCCAAACCATTTATGAAGCCAAAACGGATTTGATCAAAAGCAATGTAGCAGAAAACAATCTGTTTTGAAACAAAATGACCATTTGGCCAGCCAGGATTTGGCCAAAATCAATTTAGCTGCAAACAATTTGGCCCAGCGTAACCTAGGCAACAACAATCTGCCTGCCACAATTGGCTCAAGGCAGTTTGGTGACGGGCCCGTAGAGAAGGCGAACTGGTCACGCCAGCTAAGAGCAGGTCCAAAGCAAACAAGCCAATAAGCCTGTTCCTGAATTTGGGGAGCCTGGGGCCCGGGTGAGAACAATGCCCATTCTGCTCTGCACGCCCATTGAGCATTTGCCTATTTTTAGATTTGGGAAGGGCTTTCCCCTACCTTTTGGGCTTTTTCCATTTCAAATCAATTTTTAGTGAATTGTGCCTTTATAATTTGCAATTCATTCATCCTTCTGACCAACTGCCATTTTGGCCACTTTGCTTTCAGCCGAACTCTCTCTCCAGCCAGTGGTCTCCTGGGCAGGGAAGGCCAGGGCACTCACCCGCTCCCAGTCCTGGGCCAGCCAGTGGGCAGGACAGTTCTTGTCCCCGCAGGGGTGGATGGCCAGGGGCTTGGTCTCCACCTGGCACTGGGACTCGGGCACCACCCGCCCGTCGCTGGTCTTGCAGTACACGTGTCGGATCATGCGCCCCTGCCCGCAGCTCCCGCTGCACTGCAGGGGGAGAGGGGACGGGTGAGAGGTCAGGCCATGCCACACGGGCCCCTAAGGTCACTCCCAAGGGAGAAGAACGGCTCCCGGCCGCACAGGGGAAGCAGTTGCCATGGTAACCATGTTTTAAATAACATTTTGTGTTCTAATTACAGAAATAATGCATGCTTGATGAAGAAGACACACGGAGAGAAAAACACACCTAAAGAGCTCTCCCATGGACGTCCCACCAGCCCGGGGCAGTCCCAGAGACGCACAGAGAGAGAGAGAGGCGAAGGGTGAAGGCAGAGGGGTTATAACGTGCGATCTGACGTGGCCGCTTGTGCTGGGATCACAAGCCAGACAGGTGTTCTTCCCCCACCTCCTCACAGATGGGGAAACGGAGGCGCAGCAAGGCGAGGCTCTAGAGCCCGCTCAGGCTAGCATGTGCCGGGTCACCCCTCACCGGCCCCCAATCAGAGACGGTCCACTGGCGGTCGCAGGGCGGGCCCGTGCAGTTCTTCTCCCCAACGGGCCGGGTGTTGGCGTCACACAGCCTCTCGTCCTCTGAGCAGCGGATGTCCCTGGTCACCACGCTCCGCTCCCCGCACTTGGCTGGACACTGTGGGAAGTGGTGGGGAGCCAGGATCACCACTGTCCCCGAGCGAGCGGCAGGCCGCACGTCAGCGTGCTGGGGGTCCAGGCTGGGCGCGGCTCACCTCAGACCACTCAGACATCTCCCACTGCGGCCCGCAGTCCGGGTTCCGGCACGTCTTGCGCTCCTCGGGCCGCACGGCCTCGGCCGCCTCGCACAGGTCGCTGTACACAGAGCTGTCGAAGCCGGGTGACAGCATCTTCCAGCAGCGCACGATGCGGAACTGGAACCCCTCTCCACAGGTGCGCGAGCACTCACTCCAGCTGCTGGTTTCCCACCTGCCGGGGTGGGCGGCCCTCAGCGACACCCTGATCCCAGAGACTGCGGCCCTTCTCCCTCGCCCCACAGGGCTCGGCCAGACAGGAGGGTGAAGCCGACAGGGCTTTACAGGGCGTGTCCTCCTCACCCCCACAGAGCAACCTGTTGATGGTGACTTCTGTGGCCCCTCTGGACAGAGGTGAAGCAGACCCTGCCCCCGACACTCTGGGAACCGGTGGTGGTACCTGGGCTGGCACTCCCTCCCAGCGCAGAACTCATGGACAGGCTCTGGGCGTGTCAGGGCGTCACAGTAGCTGTCATCCACCTCAATTCCATCATAGCGGACACACATGGCATACGTCGACATGACCCCTGGATCAAAGAGAAGGGCCACATAGTTCTCAGTGGGAGCTTCGGGGATCAGCGGACCAGCTGTGTGGCCTTGGTCAAGTCCCTGAGCCTCTCCCAGCCTGGATCGTGTATTGGGAAAGGGACCGGGACCAGGGTACAGACCACTGGGAGAACCCAGGGTGGCCACCTCTGTGGGTCTGAACTCTCTCCCTGCCCACATCCCAGGGTCTGATCACTTCTCTTGCACCCCACCTCACCCTACCCAGCCCGGGCTGGGTTCATAGGTCACAAACCCTGAGCTTTGAATGAACTCAGATTGGCCCATGCAGAGGCAGACATCTCTGGGGGCAGCGATCTGCATTCAGCACCTGTTTATCAGGCGTTTACTATGGGGCAGGAGCTGTGGTGGCACAGTGGTTAAGAGCTCGGCTGCTAACCAAAAGGCTGGCAGTTTGAATCCACCAGCTACTCTTTGGAAACCCTTTGGGGCCGTTCTACTCTGTCCTATAGGGTCGCTATGAGTCAGAATGAACTCCACGGCAACGGGTACTACTGTGGGGCAGGCCCTGTTGGGGGGGGGGGAGTCAGCAGGGACCCCGACCCCACAAACCCGGTACAAACCCTGTGCAGACTAAGCGAGAATGGGAGGCGTGTTTGTGTGTGAGAGAGAGACAGTGCGCGCCTCAGCCTCCTGGGATGGTGGAGACAGTGAACAGCCCTCTCTGGCTTTACCAGTCCCCCCAAGAGGATATCGAATCCTCCAACAACGGAAAACCCCGCCCTCTCACTCTCCGGCTGAGCATGTCTGAAAGCCAGCCAGCCCCCGCTGGAGCTTCCAGAAGCCAGCCCTCATCGATATGAAGCGGCCCTGCAAGCAGCCGGCGTGGGGTTTTTCTTTTTTCCGTAAAGGATGGAGCGAGACTGCAATCACTGGGCCCTCCCTGCCCGTGCTGAGCTGTGCAACATTTAGCTCCTCCGAGGGGAGGCTGGTGTCCTGGCAGGTCCTGGTCAGAACATTCCAGGACTCAGGGATACCAGCCTGGGGCCAGGGGGACTCTCCTCATCTAGAATGGTGAAGGGGCAGGGCTCCATCAAGATAGGCTGCAATTCAAGGCCCAGCTCCATCTCCCCAGTGGAGTGGCACAGACACATGGCCAGACCCCCCAGGCCTGTTTGCTCACCCACACAACAGGCATACTAGCACCCACCTCCCAGACATGTGTAATTTGTCAGAATTAAAGTCTCAGCTATCTGTACCCCTCCTCACTCCACCAATCTCGACAACCGGAAAAAAAAAACAAACAAAGCCATTGCTGTCCAGTCTATTCTGACTCATAGCAACCCTATAGGACAGAGTAGAACTGCCCCATAGGGTTTCCTAGGACGAAATCTTTATGGAAGCAGACTGCCACCTCTGTCTTCCGCGGAACGGCTGAGGGGTTTGTACTGCCGATCTTTCGGTTAACAGCCAAATGCTTAACCATGCACCACCAGACCCTTTTAGCCATGGAGCACTTTCTTTGAGCAAGAGTGAGCAGGGAACCCCAGACACGGGATGGACGGGATGGGGTTGCTTGGCTGGAGCAAGGCTGAGGTTCGGGGTCCTGCCAGCTCCACGCGCCTTCACCCGCAGTGCCCCAGGGGGCAGAGGAAAGGTTAGAAAACCACTGCCTTCGACCCAAGAGTCCAAAGGAACTGTCCTGCATTTCTACTGCTCCAAGAGGGTCTTTAAGAGAAAAAGCGACGCCCTGCTGTGACGGGAGGCCAGGGTCCAGGAGAAGGTCTGGCCATGCCAACCTAACAGCTCTTAGTGTGGGGGCTTGGCAGGGCCTGGCCAGGACGGCGCACCGACGTGTGCCGATGGCACAGTCTTGAGTCTTTGTAAGACAAGACATGTCATGTGAGGTTTGTAAACCACTGCCCCCGCCTCCCAGGCCTCAGTGCTCCGTTGAGCCGTCCATCGGGAGCACCCACTAATAGGGTGCCCGTCTGTTGAGCAGCCAGGTGGGAGGTGGGCTATGTGGACAGGGAGGTAGGCAGTATTTGGTGCCAGCTGGTCTAACTGTCCACGCAAACTGTGAGCCCTGGTTCCAGCATTTCTGCCCGGCACCACTCTGACCTGCTTGGTACCTCCTCCAATGACGGGGAACTCACTTCCATGCCTGGACAGCCTTGACTAAAGGAGAGAGCTTCCCTCTCCCAGCACCAGAGCTGTCTTTTTATTTCCTTCTGTCCTCTGTCCTACTTCACACTGTGGGCCTCGCACAGACCCAGCGGCTCCCCTGCCTGGCCACTCCCCGGGTGTTGTGATTTGGGCTCATGTCCTCCCTGGGGATGTCCTCACCCAGGCCTAGCACCAGCCCTCAGCACCGAGGCTGCCTTGATCTGGAGCTGTCTCAGTAATGTCACCTCCCAGCAGCATGTTTGGGAGGCGCAGGGGAACCCCAGACTCTCTGGGATCATCTTGGTACGCGTGGGTCGGGAGCCCAGCGTCCTGGGCCAGGACCATGGAGTACTTTGGGGCTGTCAGCTCACACAGGTCCATGCCTAGCTGGGGCAGTCTCTGCAAAGCATCGCCTTCCAGCCCCACCACGTTATCGGCGGTCCTCAGGGCCAGCCCCATCAAAGGTGGGCCGCATGGTTCCCCTCTGGAAGCAGTGGGGTCAGCTCCCTCACACTCCACGTCGCTCCCCACAGGCACCCATGACTACAGGCAGGAAATAGAGGCTTGTGATTGGCCAAGGGCACAGGGTGCGGTGGACCAGACAGTGCGGTGGACAAGATGGTGAGGGTCAAGTGCTCACCACGCACCTCCCCAGGCCTGCCTTCCCATCCAGCGTGCCCTGTGCCCTGCGCCTGCTTCGGGGCTCCTGTAACAGAAGGAGGCGCCCCGGACAGTGTGAGCAGAGTGTCGGGTCCGAGACCCGTGGTCTGTTCAGGGCCCCGGGGTGCAGCCTCCAGCTGTTCCCTCAGCCCACTCCCGAGATGCCAGCCGGGCTGCAGTGGGGGTGGTGAGCCGGCTGCCTGTGGCCTGGCGTCTGGCCATTGCTGGGCTCCTATTGCTTTCTTTGCTGGCAGCTGGGGCCACCAAACCTGGCCAGCTGGGGGCGGCAGGGCAGGGCTGGGAGCATCCTACATTTGAGGGGCAGCCCCGGTGTTGTCCAAACTCAGTCAAACGGGAAGTCCCCGGTCAGCTTAGAGCCAGACCTCAGAGCTGGCACTCGGGGCCTCCTTACAGCCTCTTGTCCCCACTGCCAGTGCCCGGGTCCTGGTCGTGGTCCTGGTGTCACTAAGGTTGATGTAACCCAGTCCAGTAACTCAAGGTGTCTCTCTGTCTCTCTTACACACACACGCATACACACACACACACACACACACACACACACACACACACACACA